AACGGATAGACAGTTTTGTATAGCTACCTCAACATTAGGCAATTTCTTGATAAGCAATTATTTTGATATTGATAGCATCTGTTTAGTATAACTTAAATAAAATGCAAGGGTAATAGTTTATAAGCTGTTTTAAAAAAGAAAAGAGCCATTAAATAGTACTTTATAAATGCCAAAAAGGGTGCATTACATAAATATATAATAGCAACCAGAAAAAAAAAATTGGGAACCTATGAAATCTGAAACCCTCATTTTATTGCAGTTCATAAACTTTTTACTCAATTTGAAATTTAAAATTCCCTACAAATCTAAGATGAATTGTGAATTGTGTTACATGCACAAGGATGTTGTATATACACAGAAATGTTTTACAAAGGTGGACTTTGCTCTGATATCTTGTTACTATACAGAGATCTGGAGAGCCAACCAGAGAGTCTATGAAGTTAATCTGCCCACCTCCATCCTCACCTCAAACCAGTGATGAAAGTTCCTCTTTACAGAAGTGATGGAAAGGGAATAAATATTTACTTCCTGAATGCCACATACTTTCATGAGGTATTTAATCCTCAAACCATTCACTGAGAATTATTCTCTCCACTTAACATAAGGGACCCTGTGAGTAGCCAAAGACAGTGTGTCACTGGTCAGCCCAGCCCCCTGGCTTGCTCTCAGCCCTGTACCACCCTACCCTTGGGTGCCACATGTAGTCACTGAAACTTCCTAATCTCTGTGTGAGTGTAAGAAGGCAAAATAACTGACTCTTATTGGACAAATGCAGAGGCTATAAAGGAACAGGTCAGTGTTCTCCTGGCAGGTTCTGAGCTCTGGGCCTGCCTTCTGCCTTCAGTTAGCAGCTAACCTCAGAGATGATCCCTCACCCCAGCCACACACCTCCCACTCCCCATATTGCTGGCTTGGGACTGAAAAGGGAGGGATAGGAATTCTGCAAAAGAAAGGAATTTGAGGCTAGACCCCTTTTGCACTCACTTGTCTTGTGGGAATTTTCTTAGAAAGCATTCCTGTGACTTGTGGCTATAAAGAAACATGCAGAGTGTATCACCTGCATAGACTAGGGAGGCTCCAAGCATACTTAATGCATAATTGCACTACAGAGAAGATGCAAATAAATGAACTCGACCTGTTTTGATAAATACCTGTATTTTTTAAAGAATTTCTCCACTCAAAATTTAAATCCATGTTATTTTTACTTCTGCTCAAGGCTTAGCAGTTTTGAATAATGGGCTATTGAAGTTAGGGATAGTATCTGTTGAACTCACTTTGTGAAGCACCTCATAAAAGTAGTTCCAAGTGAATTAAATATTTCGTAGGTGTTTATCTTAGTGACTAATGTCCAAAATCTATTATCCTTAAAGGTACTCTTCTCCATATTAATGCAGCTTCATTAAACTTTGTGGGGGGGGGAGAGAAGTAATAATCACTGTAAATCATTTTACACAAAATTTCGAAAGTCAAAATTATCCTTTTTGCTTTTTAAGTTGAAGCTAATGAGCCCTACACACAGCTAATTTCAACTCAAAAGGTGCCGCTTAATTATTCTGTATAAATGCTAATGCCTACTGCCAGTGAGACTGCAAGGAAAGATATGCTGGTGGTAGCACTAGAAACTGGTTCGATCTTTCTGGACAGCAACCTAGAGGCATGTAATAAGAGCCATAAAACTGTTCATACCTTCTGACCTGGTAATTCTACTCTAGGGAATAAGCCCAAAGAAAGAAAGAATAATTGGCCCAGAGATGCTCAACACACCACTATTTGCATCAGTGAAGATGTTAGTGCTTTGCCCTGGTGCTGGGGGGATAGGGTGAGGATGAGGGTGGGGAGGAGGGGAGCTGCCCTAGGGTTGAGGGGCAGGAAGCATTCACAGGCAATAAACAATTCAGGATTATGCTACCCTGTAATCATGATAGGCTCCCAGCATTTATAGAAATGGAACAAATGGCTTCTGGAGACCAAGTTGAGACTGAAAAGTAAGAAAAAGGGGAAAAAAAAGAAAACATACTCATCTTATCTTTTTTCATGTTACAATGAAAGGTGGGTAAACCTCTGAAGCTGACGCTTGTTTGAACCAGCAAGCCCAGTTTCTGTTTTCTCTCAATTATTTGTCTAAGAAGCTAAAGGGTCTTTATCATTAAAAACAAAAAACCTCACACATAATCAGTCTTACCAAAGCTGGGAAAAAAAAAAACTTAAGATGATTTCAGTGATACCATCTAAACCTTCATATTCTTTTTGGAAAATATTATATACTGCCAAAAAAAAAAAAAAAAAACCCACCTCTCTGAAAAAACAAAACAAAAACCACTTTAACTGCTAAATCTTTTGACATTGCAAAGACCCCTGACTTTTAACTTGAATGATTTGTTGGAAGTCAATGGACTGGAACAAATATTCTCTTCCAGTGATGTGAGAAGACAGGACATTCATGCTTGAGGAAAAAAATTTCCTCTATATGTTAAATACTATTAAACTCTAAGATACCATTTCAAATAAAAATGCAAGTGGCGTTCTTCAGTTGTTAGCAACTCTTCACCTAGATGCTGACAGGAAAAAAAAAATGCTGGCCTCCTTGGTTTCCTAGAATTTACAAGCCTAAGAGTCTGATGAAAAGCTGATGAAAATTTCTTAAACAAATTCTTCCGCTTCATGATAACCATAGTGTTTGGAAATAAAATCACGTCCAATCAATACCACTTAGCAGATATTTAATGTTTCACAATAGAACTCTTTTCCAGAGTGGAACTGCTGCCCTTCTCACTAACATTTAAAATAATTAGGATTATCTTAGCTATCCGAAGCTTGGCAGATTCAGTTTGTACTTTCAAACAGCATTAATTCTTGGCACTCAGAACAAGGGATAAAAGGTAAAGATATGAATGGAGATCTTTATTCAACCTGATCTATCATGGATTAGCTCATTCTTTTCCAGTTCATGCCTGCACTTTAGTTAAGAGAAAGGCTAAGCTGTAACTGATGTAATTAGAAACCGCAAGCTGAGAAAAAATGGCTTTTTTATCTTCCCCATTTACTATACATTTACTAAAAAAATAATCTTTGAAACAACTAAATGTGTTTTTTCCACCTACGTGTAATTAAAGAGTAGTGACGAGAAAGGGGCTGTTTAGGATTATACTTTCCTTGCAAACACATCTTAATTGTCAGTTATAAAATCTAACTCCAATTTTGAAAGGGGCCAGCTCTGCACTTTGCATATTGTAGAGAAGTGACAGAGCCACAGTAAATGAGAGTTCCTGTAGATGGAATAAGGTACATTCTTACCAGTGCTTCTTCCTTGATACAACAACTATCACAACCTTTGTAAGCACTGGGAATTACCGTTTTTAAAAACAAAGTGAACTTAGAAAGTACATATTTATGTAACATCAACAGTACCT